ACATTTTAGTGATTTATTCTATAACTGAATATTTATTATGCTAGAAAAAAATCTGATAATTATGTAAATACTATGATATGCCTCCTCCGACTTGCATATATGCACCATATCACTAATCTAGCCATGGCAGTGACTCAGACTCTGTGATTTTGGTTGCAGAGTAGACAAGTGAGGCGCACGTTTCCATTGATATGCCCCAAACTATTGTGGATTCGATCCACTGTCCACTGGGATATATCTCCTGGTCGATCCCATTCGAATTTCATTTCTATTAGACATAATACGTATCTGTCTTCTTGAATTCGTTTTAATGTGAGAATATAGTCGACTGTTAGATCGAATTCACAACCTTTTTCCTTGTCCTGTCCCATATATCCGATAAGTTTTTCCTGAATAGATGGTCTCAATTCGTGCTCTAACCGTCTTTTCTTTTTTGCTTCCTCAATCTCTTGGGCAATTTCAGGAGGTAATGGAGGTGTCTCAACCCGAATGAGTTGGCTTAAATATTCTACACGACCAACTGCTAAATATATTAGGTTATCCCAGGCTAAGTTTTCATCAATGATCCAAACACACTATAGAGCTTTGAGAGTCATTCCTTGACTAGTGTGAATTGTCATAGCATATCCAAGCTCCCAATCTATGACTTTTTTGTCTGCTAACATATCTTTTAAAAATTTGTCAGGAAGTGTATTTAAGGGCAGGTGTATTATATCATTTTTTACTAATTCATTTTTTTCGGATGAGCCAGGGATCTGGACAAGGCAGTTTTGTTTGCATTCATCTCTTGGCCTATAGATTAGTGGGATCGGTGCATTGGGATATTTCTCTCGATGAAGTTCTAAGCATTTTTGGGAAGCGATTCTTCAGGAAAGTAGATGTGCTGACAATATACGGTCTGAAGGCTTCCATTCAGCTTCAAGATATTCCCATTTTTCTGTAACTAGAAGTGCTTCACGGAATAAGTCTGACTGCATTCTGTTATTTTGGCGTCGCATTCTTTTCTTAAGCTCTTGTAATCTAGGACATTTAGCCCGATAGTCAGTCAATACTTCCTCGTAGTAATCGGCTCGCTCTTTTAACCAGCTATGAGGCATCTCTCCAAAGAATGGCGGAGGCTGAGCATCATCTCCACAACAGATTACCTGACACTTTTGTTCTAGCAAATAGTTAATAAACATTTCGAGAATATGCCTAAGTACCATACATACCTCATCCCAGATAACTACTCGTGGAAATTTCTTTTCTCCCATACGTTCAGGAGTCCACTCTCCTACACCATTCCACCTAAAGAAGTTATGCCAAGTTTGGGCTTTTACCTTACGGTCATTTTGGAAGTCTTTGGCCAGTGCATTTGTATAAGTGAAAACAACCATGTTTATGTCTTTGAAGATTCGAATTGCACGCGTTGTCTTTCAAGAACCACCGCCTCCATTGAGATACGAAACTCAAGATCTTGTAATAGGATCACGAATTGATAGAGCAGTACTCTCAGTAATATTTTTAATTGATTTCCAATGCCTATTTTTTGGCCAGTATACGACATTAGGATCTGGTCCATGAATCTTCTCACCTTTATCACGCCATTGGCCAGGCTGTATTTCTCGAATCTTTTCCTCTTTTGGCTCAGACTCTTTGGTAACATCTCTACTGGTATTCTTTCAAGGACCTGAGCGAAAGTGCCATTCCCCAAAACAAACAGCACATACGAATGGCTTATGCTCATTACATGATAAATAGCCCGTTATTCTGTTCACGTAGTGAACCTTCACTTCTTTGGCAAATTCTTTGACTGCTTCTTTTGAATAAAAGACTCCTGCTCCACACATTGCACAAGAAGGAATTTTATGCGGACATTGAAACTTACTGGTATCTGCTCCTTTCTTGTGATTGTGGGGCGCTTAGCTTGCTTAAAGAAGGCAGATACATTTTCAATCTTATATAAAGCCTCTCTTCGTATATATATAGAATCTGTTGCGATTCTTACCACTTCATTAGGGCCAAATCTTCGGAGCATTTCTAGCAAGTTTATATGAGCATATGCCAGCATTGAGGCACGCATATGTGTATATTGAGGTTGATGACCCTCATAATACGTAAGTATATGCCCAAGCGGACATTTATCGCTACCGGCATATGTTCCCTATTTAATACAATCCTGGATTAAGAAATCGAGCTCACCTTCGTCTATTACAACTCAATGGGTCAGGCGCTTTTCTTCGACCTTATTTCCCTGAGTGAACTTCCCTATGATTGCACAACTAATATCCCGATTTTTAGGCAACCATACCTTTGTCTGCTTGATAAGAGAAATAATAGCTTCGCCTATAGATACACTTTCCAGGATACCTGCTTCGAGGAGATATCGTAGAAGTACAATAGGTGTCCAACCTTTTGTCTTCCCACATCCTTCTTCACCTCGACAGGCAAAGTGTTTTCCATACC